CCCCCCCCCCGCTGGCTGCCCCTTCCCTGCCCTGTGCAGCAGGGTGCCTGAGGGCTGCACCAAGCCCGGCCTCGGTGGTTCTGCCGGGAGCCAGACAGCAGACAGAGAGAGTGACGCCCCATCCATGACACCCTGGCCATGAGGACGGGGACACAGGAGGCCAGGAGGCCCGGGGGCACCCGCTTACCGGATGATCCAAGTCCAGGTCAGGGTCAAACTTGGTGACCAGATGGTGACACTTGTCCAGCTCAGAAACTTTCCTCGGGAACCAGAGGACTTCATGGAGGGTGGAGGGAACAGGGGCCTGCATGAGCGTCAGGCCGGCCTGGAAGCAGCCTCCCTTGCGGCTTCCTCAGTGGGGGGCGGGGTGGGGGATGGGGGCGTGACAGTGGGCAGGTCCCAGAGGTGCCCCGGCCAGCACACAGATGAGCGGAGGGCCTGAGCCGGCAGGGAGGGGGCCCCCCAGGCCTCACATGTGGTCCCCTCAGGGGTCCCCTGTGGAAGCTTCTGTGTCCCCATCTCAAGGTCATGTGCCCCATCTCAAGGTCATGGGTTACCCACAAGGACAGAGGATCCAGCCTCACCCTTGTTCTCCCCAGCACCACGCACGTCCTCCGCCACCCGGCGCACGGAGCTGAGCAGGGCGGGCAGGTCGGCGCTGGGCACCTCACAGCGCACAAAGTACTCCAGGTGGGGGCCCCCTGCCCGTGGCTTCTGGGCGGGCCGGGTCTCCAGATGGTGGATTTGGGCTTCAAACGTCTTAGGGAGCAAGGGAGAGACAGAGATGGAGAGACAGAGAGAGATGGAGAGGCAGAGAGAGAGATGGAGAGACAGAGAGATATGGAGAGAGAGACAGAGATGGAGAAAGAGAGATGGAGAGCGACAGAGAAGGAGAGAGACAGAGAGAGATGGTGAGATAGAGAGACAGACAGGGAGACAGACACGGGGAGGGAGGGGAGACGGGGATGGGAAGGAAGAAGCTCCGTGGGGTCAGCTCCTGTGGCCCCGCCCTGGACGTTTGCGGCCACGAACACCCAAGCCGTCCTCCACACTCGGGTCAGAGCCTGCGGCCTGGGGAGGGCTTGCGGCTGGGAGGTGGGGTTTCGTCCAGTTTGCGTGATGGGAGTCCTCAGCGCGGTCCCTCCACCCAGTGTTCTGGGTGACGTGTTGCGTCCCTCGGGCCTGAGTCCCCAGCTGCTGGTCGGAGGGTCCGCCACCCCTGGTGGCCTCATCTGGGTCTGGGGGTGGGCCCTGGACCCCACTGTGGCCCCCCCACCCAGGAGGCTCAACCCCCCGCTCAGCGCCACTGAGTGCCCAGGGGCCTGGCAGGAAGGCTCCGCTCGCCGCCACCTCCCGCCCATCGCTGTTGCCCAGCAACAAGGACGCTGGTTCTCGACAGGCCCTCGGGCCACACGGATGTCCAGGAGCAGGAGCCCAGCTCTAATGTCATTTGGGGGCCAGGAGCCCGTGTCCCGCCCGGCCTGGTGTGACCAGAACAGCTAATACCATCCGCCATCACATTAACCAGAGCCCGTCAGGGGCAGGGGGGGTGGGAACCCCGACTTCCCAGGCTGCCCTGCTGGGAGCCACACGCACTCACCCCATATGTCACCTGTGTGTGACGTGGTGGGTGTGGGGGTGGCGGGAGTTCACGGCCCGGTGGAGGGCTCGGGCTCAGGCAGTTCCCGAGACTACGAGGGGGACTGTGAGGGCCGTGGGGCCCCCTAGAGCTCTCGGGGGTGCAAACCCCCAGGCCCAGGGCTCCTGAGCCCCTCTCCCCTGGTGGCCCTCAGTGGCAGTCATGCCTCTGCGTGAGTCCCGTGGAGAGGACACCGTGTCCGCACCTGCCACAGGTCCACACCAGCCAGCCTCACCTCAAATGCCTTCACGGCCCGGGACAGCGACGCGGTCTTGGCGCCCCGGAGGGTGAAGAGCAGATTCAGCATGGCCTTCCCGTCCTTGTCCTTGAACACTGCGGCCTCTAGGGGGTCCCCGGGCTCCGAGGAGGCAGCCGACGCGGCCTCGGCCTTCTCTCGCTCCTTGCGAGCGTCCTCGATGAGGCTCTGTCGCCGCCCGATGAAGCGCGGGGACTGCGGGGACAGGACACACCCAGCTCTCCCTGTGCTTGGCCGCCCCCAGTCCCTGTTCCGACCCGCTGGCGTCCGTGAGCCCCTGCTGTGCCCACGGGGGGGTACACGGCTGGCCAGGCCTCGCTTGCTGCGGCAGAACTAAGAGCCTGTCTCCACCCGATGGGGGTTGGGGGGTGGCCAGGAAGATGTGGAGCCACAGGCTGGGGGCCGGTGTGGCAGGAGGATGGGCCCACAGCACCCACATGCTGCCTTGCTTCTGTCCCCGGGTCCCAACTGGACGAGGTGACAGGAGGGGTG